TTACTGCTTTATTTGTATGAACTGCACCATAAGAAAAAAAGCCTGGAAAACTCAGTATGACCAGCAAGACTGAGTCAACATAGTACAGAACCACACAGGTAATGAATTTCAAATTGAATTTCAGATACAAAGTTAAAAGGTTTCACAACAATCCCCACTGTGAGCTAAAGGAAGGGAAGGAAGAGCTCAGTTTGGGGGAGGTAGGTAGGAAGACAAGAAACAGTTCGGTAAAAAATATAAAGGTATACACTTGTGAATTACCAGCAAAGAAGAAAAATTAAGCATCTCCAAAACCTGCCTCACAGATTTTGAAGGGGTATATATCGTCTTCCACTTTTCTAAAGAAAAAACACAGCATCAACTTTCAATCTACTTTATAATTTTTGTCTGATACGTTCACAGACTGATGCATCTTTCCAACGAAACCCCACGCAGCTTCATGACTTTTGTGATTTTATCAATCGCATTATCTGTATGCATATGCAAATATACCTAAGAAACAAATCAACTGTTTTTCAGCTTATTTTCCATGCTGTGTACCCATGTAGTGGGTATCTGTTACTTCTCTAGTTGTTCCATTTAGCAGGAAAACTCGCCCACCAGCAGATCCCGTGTCTCATTAGCATACATTACCAGCAATCCATTGTCTGATTCTACATCAGACATAGTCAAATCCTGCTTGTGCACTGGCTTTGGCGGCCATCCTATAAGACACCAAATTTTATGGGGTGACTTTATCAAGAATATTCCTATATTATCATAAAGCCTTTTTAAAGTTCTTCATGTGAGAAATGTTAGGCCCTGGAGCATGTCCAGAGAAGGGCAACAGAGCTGTGAAGCTTTTGGAGCACAAGCCTTATGGGAAGCAGCTGAGAAAACTGGGGCAGTTCAGTCTGGGGGAGGCTCAGGGAAGACCTCACACCCCTCTACAGCTCCCTGCAAGGAGGTTGTGGTGAGGTGGGGTTGGCCTCTGCTCCCAGGTAACAGCGATAGGACAAGAAGGAATGGCCTTAAGTTGCACAAGGGAGGTTGAGGTTGGATATTAAGAAAAACAGCTTCTCTGTAAGCGTGGTGAGTCACTGTCCCTGAGGTGTTCATGAGCCGCACAGACACAGCACAGAGGAATGTTGTTCAGTGGGTGGTGGGGATGGCTTGCGGTTGGACGAGAAGATCTTAGTGATCTTTTTAACTATTCTATGATTCTGAGTTTTCTATTTTGTCACTTATTTACATGTCCCATTAGATCTCTGATAAACTTTTTAAGGGACATACTAAAAAGTTACACAAGCTGCAGTTACTGACTCTCTACCCATTCTTAAAGTCCCAGCAGGATTTCCTAACGCTGACCTTACCCAATTTTGCCAACAAGTGACCACTGTCCAACAACCGCGCTGTCTTCCTGCTGTGTGCATCCATTACATGAACAAACTCAGCATTAAAAAAAGAAAACAAGACACCATCGCAGCAAAACGCCTCATACCTCAAGGATATACGTTTCAATAAGCTGTAAAATTGGTGGGAGCTTATAAATCATGATTACACAGCATGCAGGACAACGGCAAATCAGAAAGCAGTTTCAACGAGGAATTAGTTATCCACTACACTCTGGAAGCCATCTGATGAGGGTTTTTAGGCAGTTTATTAGTTGTACGTGCAAGTGGTGCAGCTCAAACGGAAAAAAAGGCAAAAGCAACCCTCGGGGCTCAGCAGAGACCCCGCCCGCCCCTCACCTCACTGAGGAAGGAGCCCCTCCGCTTGCCGCGCCGTCCCGCCCCACACTCACCTCAGCGGGAAACGGCTCTCAGCTCCTCTTCCTCCTCACGCCCCGGCAGCCTGGGCGACCGCCCCGCCGCCCCGACCCCCACTCAGCACCGCCAGCCCGAGCCGCTTCCCGCCCCTCCACGAGCCGGCCGCGTGCGCGCTGTGTTACGGCGTTGCCGATGGAGACGGAGCGGCGCCGCTTCCCGCCGCCAGCGGGCGCTGAGGAGGGCACGGCACCGGCCGCGCGGCTCCCCTCAGTCAGCGCAGGCACGGCCGGGGTTTTAGTAGACAATTTATTTTGATAAACTTGCTCAATAACAAAAATACAAGTGTGAAGAAAATTATGTTCATTTTTATACAGTTTGTATTAACATTTGTTCAGAAATCATCGATTAAAAAAAAAAATAAAAAAAGAAATGTTGTAAGCACTTAGAAAACACTCCTCAGTAAAGGCGGGCGGACGGACGCAGGCAGCCAGGCCTGGGGCAGGGAGCGACGGGACGCCCGGGCCGCAGAGCCGCTGGCAGACACCGTTTCCTTCATTCTTTTCATCCTTCACACAGTTTTTAAAGGACAATTTTATTATCTACAGGTGTGTTCTGAAGTGGTTAAGTAACAGCTCTGAAACACAGGCATTATATGCAGGGCCCAGCTGGCGTGGCCAGAGGGTCAGGCTCAGGAGCACAGCCCTGCCCGGCTCTGGTACAGCGGGTGTCCCTGCCAGCAAAGCACCGTGAGTGCTGAACGTGACGGGCTGTGCACTCAAGGAAGCACGTTCTACTCACCCCCGGGACAAATGGCTCTGAGGGGATCGTGTCTCAACCGTAAGATTTACAGAAACACATCAAACAGTTTTCATTCTGAAGGTATCTCAAGCTTCTGATCTCACACTTTGTTAGCCGAATAAACAACGTGCACATAGCAATAACCCTCTGGAGAATTTGGAAGCAGAAGACTGAAGAATTTCTAGTGATGCACAAAATGCGCTGTCCTTCAAAAAACCAATGGCAGAAATAGAAAAGTTTATGTAAACACTCAACATAAATACGGGATTACCTTAGGAGAAGACTTGTATGGGAACTTTTCCTTTTCATGAACTGAAAAAGTCTACAGATGTTTAGGCATGTTCAATACGAACTTTCTGTAGTTTAAACCTTGTGCAAATAGAACCTATAAATAATATTCAGCAGATTTTACAGTGATGCTCTTAGGTATTGAAGAATAATGTACACATCTTTCAAACAAAAGTAACAGACAAAAGTTTGACAAATGATTGCACCATAAAACAGTGTTTTATATACAGTTTAGAAGATATGATTTTCTGCTATAAATTAATACTGTACTATTCAGTACTTAGTGACAGTTATTAAAAGCAACTGTTGACAGCTGTCTCTTCATTTACTGATGGAATCATTTTATTTTTAATGCAGATGGCTGTATCTATTTCTGGACTTTAAATGCTCCAATTATGAATAAAAACAGCTGGCTGGTTACATCTGTTATTTAATAATTCATAGCAACAGCATTGGCAGATCAGATCAATTTTCAGCCAGCCTGCCACATTCTGGCTATGCTTCAAGAACAATATTTGTATTTTTTAATTATATGATGATCCATTAACTGAAGCCAAAATCCACTGCATACACAATATTACTATACCTGAAATAAGTAGGCGAGGGGTGGCATCTTGGCAGCCAAGAAACTCTTCCACCCTCTACGTTCCAGTTACAAGAACCTAGAACTATTTTCAAAAATGATATTTCTGAAAACAGAAGAGCTTTCCTTTGTCACAATTTAAGTCTGAGTTCGAGCAAATACTTCAGCTTTGGTTAAACACACAGTAATGCTGAAAATTTAGACATATGGAGCAACTTAACCTGACATTTTATCTTTCATTAATATATCTATCTTCATAATTTATCTTCATTTATATATCTATTCTATGATTCTATGATCTTTCCACCAATATCACTGGAAGAAATTAGAACATTCATACTGATAAAGGCTTAAGTTAGGAACCAAATCATTTACAAATAGCTGGGGCCTGACTGTATTTACAGGTTAGAGTACTTCAGAAAAATTTAGTATTCTATGAACACTTCTACTTGTAAGGGAAAAAAAAACTCAGTCATAGACTGTTAGAATGACAAGTTTGTTCAAGAACATCAAAATATGAACTATAAGCTGTTTAATTCAGCAGAATCAGGGAGAAGTACTAGAAGGGGAATTCTGCAGGAATTGAATGGTGCACAGTTTAAAAGAATTGAACAGAATGTCTTATCTTCAAACCCTTAAGCTTATCTGATAAGTGATTATTTTGGTAAATCATGGATTAACTGGAAAGCAGATACTGAGAGCACAAGCAGCATTCCTGGGACACTAACAGAAATGTTACTTTCTGCTAGGTAGATTGAGTAGTAAAGTATGATAACAGTTACGGAGCCAAAGATTTTTTTCTGTGTTGAAAAGTAAAACTGCTTTTTTGTGAGGAACATTTACTTTAAATCTGGTTGGCCCTTAAATCTACATTTATAATCACTTTAGTAAATGAGGCATATGCTGTTTATACAACGATATTACTCTTTTTTTTTTCTTTTTTTCTTTTTGTAAAGGTGAATAAGTCCATTCATCTTTGCAGTGAAATAGTGTTTGCATTACTTTAAACATTACATTTTACCTGTGCTAAAGAAATGCTCATCTATGGTAAGCAGCTATGTTTGAACACAAATGACTGTTAGTATAACAATGCAGTAGAAAAAGAGACTATCTGTACAACAGTTGCTAATAATTTAAATAGTGTCAGTTTCCCAAAATTAGAATTTTAACTTTAAGGTATGACATGATCTCACCTTCCACCCTCATATACAAATAAATTATCATAAAAAGAATTTTAGCTTAACTTAAAATTGCACCTAAAAAGGCATGGGATTGTTTGTACCTAATACAAAAACTGTTAAAATCAAGGGCTGCTACAAAGAATGAGGTAAACTGAAGACTCTCAGCTATGTGGCCTTCAGAGAAATGGCTTTTTTTTCTATTGAGTTCTAGTTTTGCACACCACAGTGTTTTGCTAGCAAAGCGTTCTGAGTTCTCTTCCAGGAACCATTTGTGTGTATATACAAATATATACATATATGTGTATATACACACGCACACATACACACACACTGTATACTGCATCAGCAAAATATATATATATTTATATATATATTTATATAAATATAAGGAAGAAATCCCCCTCTAAAATGTTCTTTAGTGTTTTTCTACAGCTTATGGGGGAGGAGGGGATGTATGTCTTCTTGATGGTACATACATTTTAGAGAACGTTTGCTCTATTGGCTTCTTGGTGCAGCAATGAAAGACTGATCCATACCGGTGCCAAAGGCTTTGCTCATGAGACAGAGGATGTAAAATACTAATCTCCTACACAGCGAGGCCAGCCTCGCTTGCATTTCTCTGCAACCCTCTGGTCTACCACGAAGTTCATAAATACTTTGACTCCCAAATCATTAGACGTTAAAAACTAGAACAGTACAGTAACATGGGGAATTATGCTTCTCAGTGTAAAGCATTCTTCACTAGTTCCTATCACAGTGCAGACCTGACTGCATTACATATGCTCAGGAGATTAGTCAACGTTGTCTGTATTTGGTTATGGGAAAGGCTCTCCTTTTTTTTTTAATCCAAAGTGCATAGTGAAAAAAAGTCAAAGCATTCCTCTTTTCAGTGAGTGTTTGATAGTCACATCTAGGCATCCTCCTGAGAATGCAATTCTGATGTCTTGCTCTTTTCCAAAACAAAGTCCTGCAGTTCAACATTCATCAGCCAGGTAAACAAACTTTGCCAGCAAATAGGAGTCCAACTATTGTAAAGAAAATGGATAAGACAAACAGTACATACGAAGACCCAACCACTGTGTTATTGGGTAATTTATATGGTTGACCTCCGACTTCATTGATGTAAAAACCTATTGGAAATATTAGGGCTGCCATACAGAATAGAATCACTGCAAAGAAAAGAGAAAAAAAAACAGTGTTAGAATCAAAATATTTACCAGTTCATAGAGCAGTACAGAAAAGCAAAGTATTTTGAGCAAACTGAAAAGCTGAGATATTCCCATCACTAACTGGCTTTAAATGATTAATAAGGCTCTACCTTGCTTTTAGAAGATCCCACAAGTACCATTTTGATAGTAATTTCAGCTCTGCTCACCGGATCATGAACTGCTTTCACATAATAAAAGTTTGGCAGATATACTTCTATCACTATCCATGAACGTAGTCAGTTACTTCTCCAGTTATTTTAGATATTTCCCCCCATATCAAGCTAAATTAACATTCAAATTCCCTTTTTATTATCAGAGTTGCCTTCTACCAATTGTAGTCATCCTCTCCCCTTCTGCACAAAAACTCCTTTCATGTAGAACTTTTGCTAAACATTGCAAACAGAGACTGTTACTATGGTTTCTTTCATTAAAATACATCAGTTTCCTAAATTCATGACTGTTTCTTCAGTAACAAAATCTCCTTAAGATCTTCCATTGGGGTTCAAAGAAAGTTTCCTGATTCAATTTAATCTAAGATTCTTAGTGAAAAACATCAAGTTCAAATTTTGTGAACTTAAGAGAATGAGCAATGGGACTTATTTCATTTGAATAGTTTAACTCAGATATGTGGTTCATGCTTACAATTGACCCTGTGTGAATATACAAAAACAAACAAACAAAAAAAAAAACCACCAACAAACAACCACAGAATCCCTACTAAAGCCATTAATTGAAATTACATTATACATTTCACAGGCCTTCAGATATTAATAGTGGCCAGAATTCCTCAGTACAGAATATGCAGTGCTGTAATCCTTCCCAGATGAGAACACCAGTGTTCCTGTAAGATAGCTCTTACAGTAAGATAGTAAGTAACCTTATTTAATGGGAACACAGCAATAAACAGATTTGTACTGTCTCTAGCAAGAGAATGGCTTCCAAATATATATATAGCATCTCTAAGAGACAAGAGATTCCTCACAATAAAAAAAGATGATCTTTTAAGTTGGCTTGAGTGTGTATTCAATACTATATCATTAGACACTCTCTTTTCCCCATCCTTCCTTTTTCTTCAATCAGTATTAGAACATAGAATTTTATTTCTACTAGTTACATCAACAATTAGTGCCTTACTCTTATTTCACTTCTATGTATTTCAAATTTCTTTCAAATATTATTTGCTGTATGTGGAACATCCTTATTTTATATCAAAGGGACACAGGCATTGAACCTGTTCTGTTCTTCCATCAACTCTATAAATATTCACACAATCATCTCCTAATATGAAGCACAGCGACATAACCATCTCCCAGTCCTCAAAGTGTATATATAAAATGAGAAAACAAAATTCAGAAGATTCAAGCCAAACTACAATGCCTCTGCCTGTACCATACTACATACTAATTTGTTCAGTCTTCTGAATACAGATTGCTGCTTTTTTGTAGTTAGTAAGAAATACAGGAACTGTACTTAAGCAACAGCAAAAAAAAAAAAACAACAAAACCAAGCCAACCCAAACAATCCTAACATGGCAATAGTAATAGCTAGCACCTTAACTGCTGGTTCCTGTACAAGTCAGCAATGCTTTTATTTCCAAAGGTACCTTAAATAAATTCAGCAGCTCGCTTGTTCTTAACAGAACATCAAGACAGTCTCTACTCTTTCAGGCTGAGGATATGATGGGGAAGAGCAGCTTCAATATTTTGGAACGCAATTTCACTACTTTTCTTCTGGCTAATGCTCTGGTTTTTCCAGCCACAGTGTTACATGGCAATACTAGAAGATTTTCTTTTAATGAATTCCGTGTTTACGTACAAGATGAAATGTTTATCATGTATTTTATATCTTAATGCTCAAAACATTGTGATTCACATAGTACAGGTCTCAGCTTCATGGAAAAACAATCGTGTTCTGTGGCAGAGACTAGTTACGAACATGACGAAGCTGAATTCAAGAAGTGCCTATGCAGGATTTACACAAACAAAACAGGATGGTTTGATCACATAATGCATATCCAACCATCAACTGTTCTCTGCATTCCTGAATGCATGAAACAGCTTACACACATCTTGAGTTAAATGCTGCTAAAATGACAATCGGCCTCTCTGCTTATACTAAAATACTTAGCTGGGAATAAATAAATAAAAATCAAAATAACTAAATAAATACGTTTTTAGTTCCACTAGAGGGAGCTCGTGTCTTGCTTTTAATAAAACTTCATCATCAGGTTAAGGATAAAAAAGTGCACAAGTGAATCTGGCAGCTGCAGTTACTAAACTCTTGCTCAGTGCTCCCACGTTAGGCTATAAAACAATACCAAAAAAACAGAAACCACATATTAAACATTATTTCATCTTAAGGCTTTTAAATATATGGTTATGGATCCACATAATCCCATACTACACAGTCAAATCCTTAAAGAATATTTCTCCTTTTAAAATTGTATCTTAACCAGCAGGCTGTCCAGCTGAGGAGAGGAAGCTCAGGTATGTGGTTTTTGAGCAGATCAGTTTAAGTGCAGAAGAGCTCTCCATTGGAGTGGTCCAGAAAACAGTGATTGACAACAAGTACTTATTAATGCAACACATAATTTTAGTAACAGTTTAAGCAAAGCTCTGAAGATGTTTGACGTTACCATAAGTCAACATTTTCTGCTACATCCAGTTTACCCCTGAAGAACATTCCAGTTATTTACAGAATTGCTGTTACATATTAACAGCAGTAAGCATGTTGGAAATAGCTTGAGGATGCTGAAACCACCACGTGCATTTCTAAGCTTAAGTCTCCCTTATCACATTCAAGAACTATATGAGTTCTGATGGCCGCATGGATAAGGCTGAAGAATAGATCTTTTATCTCTCTTTACTAAGCAATTGCTCTGTGAGGCATGCTGTACATACACAAACCCAGCAGTGCTGTAGGTCTGAGAGCTGCTGGTGGCTCTGTATTGCCACGGGGAGCACGTGCCCAGTGACTCATTGCATTTCTGCCTGAGGACAGAAGCGTGCAGATACCTCAACTCTCTCTCAGTTCACAAGAGAAAAAAAAAATAAATTCTGGAATTGCAGGGAGTTGAATAATGCTGATTCACATCCATATTTCAAAAGTAACCGGAGACCTTTTTTCTTCCAAATAACAATAGTGCTATGAAGGCTTCTGAGCAGTTCTACTCAGTGTGGTCTGAATTTTTAATCTACTGAAATAGCAAATGAAAAACAGTTTTCATGAAGTTCTTTGTCAGAATAGGAAGCCAACTTATGGCAGTTTTTTGAGATGATAGTAAGAAAAGACCACATGATAAATGTACTGAAAAACCAACACCAAAACTAAAGAGAAATTCTAAGAGAGGAAGCACTCAGTTAACTCAGTATGTATTCTTTAAGAAGAAGAAGTGTTGGCTAGAGGGTAGGAATTTCTTATACAAGCTGTAAAACAAACATATATGTTCATATCTGGTAGTATAAACTCAGTGGATTTCCATCAACACCTCCAGCAACCCATAAAGAACTTCTCCCTTAAAAGTCTTTTCTTACAATTTCAGGGAAAAACTGCAGAAAAGACAACCATTACAATTTCTATTAACAGAAGTATTCAGTAACAGAACACAATCATTTCTAGGCTACTTCCAGTGGCTGTCAAAAGAGGTCTAGTTCCTTTAATTCTTAAGCTCAAAATTGTTTTAGCATTCAGTGGCAGTAACTTCTATGAACCCAGGATAAAGCATATTAAAAAAAAAATGAAGTATGGTTCAGAGATGCATGGAACAGTACCAAAACCAGGTTACTTGCCTGCTACCAATCTATGCCACCATACCATGGGGCATAATCAGTGACAAAGCAGTACAGAGTTGGGATGGCAACAGACAGTTAGCTTGAGCAACAGGTAAACAATACCATGCAACGAAGAGCTGATAGATTTTTGGCTGCCATCAACAGGCGAGGCACAGCTCCAAGTTTACAATGCCTCTTACTGAAGATGCACACAAAGACCTGGGCAGCATGGAAACGAACACCAAGATGGAATCCATACTTCATTACAGTGTGTGAATTTGACACTACATTAACGGGGCTCAAAGAGCAATGATAGTTTTGACAGCATCTACACCCAGGGTCATAATACCTATCACATCAATTAGGAATACTGTGAGTCTTGAATAACCCTACAAGAAGAATATGAAACCTTTTGCATTTGCCGTAAGGATGACTTTCATCATTCATGCAGCATGCCCTGAAAGACTGAAATCTCCCTCCCACCTACAAAGCTAGTTTGCAGGGAAGCCAAAAAGACAAGTTTCTATATGGTAAAACAATCAATGGCTGAGGAAAGATGCAAATACAATACTAATAAATACTCTCAGGTGCATCCCTTGCAAAGTGAAAAGAACATATATGACAGTAAAATTGTCCTCTGTGCGCCGTTAGCTAACCAAGACAGAGAAGACCATTCAGCAGTAACTCATATTTAGAAAGTGCACTGTTGAAAAGCGTCATCAAAGATGACATTATTACAAGCAAGATTTCCACTAACAAAAAAGTACATAATGCAGTTAGCTTAAATCTCAATATGATTAAGAAATCGAGGAGAATGGTTTCATTGCTGAGATAAAAAGTTCTGATTCTTACTTCAGGAGAGCTACTCCTTTGTGATCTTTGCTAGAAACAAAAAGAAAAGCAAGCAGCTTTCTCTGCTGTCATCAGTAGTGCCAACAAAACCTGCTGAGGACAGAGGCATATGTGCGAAGACTCATCCAGGGCCCTATAGATCCCATCTACGGACATGACCTGGGTAAAATATTTAACTGAAAATAGACTGCAATAGAAGCTGAAACCAACAGCCTGAATATTAAGTCATCACAATCCAAAACAATATCTAAAATCAATCTAATACTATCTTAATCTTTTAGTTGTAGCAGAAAAACACTATCCTACCTTTGCTTCTCTTTGATGGTGTTGGTATAGGCATGCCAAGCAATCAGCACTAGTTTATGACCTGGACTCTTCTTCCCTGAATTAGCATACTGTGCTCTGTAAAGTGAGCAAAGGAATGAAGTGCTGAAGATGTTTGCACCAATTTACTCTACAGAATTCTATCAATTGAGGAAAACATTAAATAGTTCCTTGAGAGTCTTTCATATGATTACCATAAAAATCAAGACAAAAGAATCAGGAAGTTCTTTTTCCCTACATAATATTGTTAAACCAGCTACATGGAACTGCTCTTCCAAGACCTTTCTCTTCTGCAAGGGAGGTCTTCATCTTCTTCCTCAAAAACAGAGGTATTTCAGATAGTCACCTATGGATAAGAACGAGACTTTCTCATGACTTCTCTGGACTGCATTTCACCACCTTGGACAGAAGGTAGCTAGAGGGGATCTGCAACAAACTGACTTAAGCCATTGGGGTCAAATTCCAGCACGAGCAAGGCAAGAGTGACCTCTTGCCTGGCTCTCCTTGCTGCTGGCAGAGTTGCAAGGAAAGGGCTGAGCAAGAGCATCCTTTGTCATTAGATGATTTCATCTAGACCCCCCTTGCATTTGAAGAGAACAGAGCTGCCAGTCCCAGAGATGCCTTTAGCAATCCCAGCAGACTTCACTGCCACTTAGGACAGCACATCCTATGTCATGTTCTGAAAGTTCTGCGAGGAGAGTATCTGTTAGTCGCCTGTACTGGGCTGTTCAGTCTTGAAATCACCTGCAGAAGAAATGTAATACAATTATGAAGTTTTCCCTACTCTGTTCTAATGAGTTACCCACGTTTTCATAATACAGCACTCTGCCACTTCACAGGAAGGTTCATGGCAGTTAATGCCACACGTTTACATGCATCCTAATATCAATCTACAGATAGAATACTCATTTCTGTTGCCATAGAATGAACCACAGAATTTATTTATTCTTCAGCAAGTCAATATAAACAACTCTGCCTTCCATTCACTTCCTTTCTTATAAGTGAGTTAAGAAATAAAATTTCCCATCATCACTGTTAATACAGAGTTCATAGTCATATCTATTGAAGATAAATATATGCTGGTAAATATTGCAGCAACACAGCAAATGTATCTTAATAGAATTACAAATAATTCTGAGTTGCAAGAGAACAAATTAATGTGCTTCATTATTAAACATCTCATAACAAAGGTAAGTGCTGAAACAAAGCAGTATCCTTCTATAGTTAAGGCTTCTAATAATGACCCTACTGCAAGCCCAAAGGAATCCACGGGAGGGGAGGAAAGGGGGGGGGGAAAACAGCAAGCTTTAGGGTATCAGAATTTTTATCTGAAGTAAGCATCAAAGCTGTAGAAAATTAGACATGCAAGGATTTGATTACTGGAAATATTTTAAAGAATATGTAAAAATCAAAATGCAAGCTGTGAATTGTGGGGGAAAAAAAACCCTCAATAAATAAATATTATATAGTACTCAAAAAAACCCAGTAACCCACAAACAACCAAATACTTGAAAACTGAATAGCTTTGAGATCTGCTCACTGCAAGTGTCTTAATCTTATACAGCATTTTGAATTTAAACCCTTCCTGTGTACATTAGATACACATGAAATATGTATTAATAGACAATGGCAACTAGAAAAGCTGGCATGGGACACTCAACAATATGTATGTCTATTTTAGCCATTCATTAGAAAATGAATACAAGCCAACCACAATGGATACAGCATTTCAATAGTTCCTTTGTCTGCAATAGCTGCACTGACAGTTTAATATGCTACATAGAAAAGTTGTCAGAAAGACAGCTTTGATTGTACAAGTGCCTCACCAAAGTGCCTCTGTTGAAGCTCACGGCATTTTTTTTGTTTGCTGTATTTTTTTGTTGTTGTTAACACATTATTCCCTTCTCCAAACAACCTTAAATTCATTTATATTAGATGTCATTAGCTGCCACAGACTTCCATTAAACCTTACTTATGTTTGTATAAACCACAAGCTTGCATTTTCTAGTTAGTGTGTACACTGTTGTCATATGTCAACTTAAAAGCAGTCAGATTTTGAACTTTTTCATTCCATCATCACCACTATTAAAGCACCATTTTACAGCTGGCATAAGCCTGGAACACACATTAAGGAAAAAGAAGTTTGACAGTTACTCCCTTACTTGTGGGTTAACTGTTTTTCTTTTACACTGAAGTAGCCACAGCATACATTCCCCTGTGTAGAAACAGGGCTGCTGGAAGAGGCTCAGTCTTTGCTGTGAGGAATTATGCTGGTGTTCATGCAGCACACAATGAAGGGTGGCAGAAAAACATTACTGCTGTTCCCTCTGCTGAAGAGCTGCTGCAGGACACTTAAGGGAAGCAAGCCTCAGTGCTGTGAAGCACAGCAGGTGCTCTGCAGTGGGCAGTCCTCCCCCATAGCCAATTAGGATGCAGATACTGTGAATAAAACACCCACTGTGAGCATCAAGCAGGACTGAACCAGCATCAAAACTGAACGAGGTATTCAACAGCAACACCTGAAGTGGGGATGGACTTCAGACTGCAGAAAGTCTCAGATGCATCAACTACACAGGGGAATTCCCGTCATCCCATTTGGCTAGAAGTACTGGATACAGGGGCATGGGGAAGGAAGAATGATCCAGGACTGACCTCTTCCTATCTCTGCTCATTTTCACAGGTCAACAAATGGCGCTCCTCAAGGAAGGCAAAGGGGTCAGGGCATACAAGGCCCTCCTTTCTCTCAGCTTGGACTCACAGGCTAGAAATCCCTCTCAATTATCAGTCACTTAAGATATCAATCCCTCAGTTTTTGAACAATTTCCTTTTTCTCTCAGATGCAGTATTTGAAGAGAAAGAGTATTTTGTAAAGAAGGAGCCCTAAGAACTGCTCCCTGACAACACCATGTGTTATTTCAGACTCCACCAGTTTATCCTGTGTACAGGTCAACTGTGCAGTTGAGGTCACTTACTTCCAGTGAAAGCTATCCAGCGGGCATATTTAGTAGCTTCTCTTCGCCAGTGGGAAGCCACCAGCAAACCACATGTGACAGTTAGTGAAATGATTCCCATTATGATGAAAAATAACGTAGTGACCCACTCAGGAGGCAGCCGTGGAGGAATACAGGTCCTGTCACGTCCATGGATGGTTTGACACTGTCGCACAAGGCCAACTGTGAGAGCACCTGAAAATACACAGCAGAGAGGCATGTAAACTTTCAAAATCCTCTCTGAGGGGCGCTCAATTGCAAACTGCATCTCAGCTTTGTTCTAAAATAAGGGATTCTTTCTTTGATGAGCCTTAATAAGCCTGTCAAAGACAGAGGATAGAAGGGACATGTTTAAAGCATCTATCTTCATATTCTTTCATCAAACACTTGCATAAATTGCAGTGAGATAGCTACAGGCTATATCTGGTCCTTGAGTGGCAGTCAAGCTCTAATCAAAGCAATAAAGCACTCCTGTGAATCCTGCCACTGCCAGCTGAAGTGGTGGCAGGGCTGTAGAGAGCACCACTCCCTCATCTCTGCGAGGTAAAAAACTTTCATAATGTAACCAAACAGGATGCAGCCCCCTGAAGTGTTCTTAATTGTCTTAGCCTTTTCCCCTTATCTATAAAGACAGCTCTAAGCCTCTAGGTCTCACAGTGGGATCTGCATTTAGTTCACACTAAGATTTTAAGAATATTAAAAAAAAAAAAAAAGCAACCACTATACTTCTTAACAGTAGGTGTTTAAGAGTCCCTCTACCCAAGACACTTAGGACAATTATTTTGACAACTAACATGGGTTACTACACTCAACAACTGGGATATCTATTCTACTAGTTGAAAAGATCCTAAGAACAGACCAAGACTGGTAAGGGAACCATAGTGTAGTGACAAATTCTGCCAAGAAAACAAAAATAATTTAAGATATATTTGACTCTTGAAGTAGCAAAATGGAATGCAACTAGGGGGTTGAGCAAAGGATATATCACAACACACAGAATTCTGTGACACAAAACGATGTATTTTCAAATAGATCCAAGTATTCTGATTTAAAATCTATTTTATTACTTTTGAGTCTCATGTGTAAAGCAGCTTTTAGTGGAATTTAATAGCGAAATTCTCTTTATCTTGGAAATTTTACCTCAATATTAATATTTAAGGTCAAAATCCATTTCTTCCAGTGTCTCTTCTTAAGTCCTATATTTTTCAAATGTGTCTCTTCTTCTGAGCTCTTTCCTTAAATAATCACAATTGTCCTTTATCTAAATTAGAAGTCAAAGTCAACAGTGGAAAGTATTAGAGTCAACATCTTCCTCCACTAATTTTGATAAGTAAAAACTGTTGATCTTCTTATGATGAAGAGGCAACTCTTTTCCAGAAAGAAGCAAGCTAACAGTCAAAAGAACAAACACCATGTTACAACAGTTAGTGCTTGTGGTACACTCCCAGAGGATGAGAAGAACAAAAACATTACTGATTCAATTCTTTTGAAGCGTTCCTGTAACCGCTAGACTACAAGCTTTCAGTCCTATTCAAATGTATCATCTTAATTACATATTCATCAGCTGAAAGATTTGGAGATTAATTTTTACTTGGAAGTTAAAGTCCTTAAAAAATGAGTCAGTTACAAAACCCACAATTATTAAACTACAAAATTGGCATTTTCTACTCTGTATATAAAACAGCTGAACCATGGCTGTGCACTAGGATTACACAGAGCTCAGCCAGAGTCACACAAGCACACTTACCATCTCACATACCTGCACAGTGCAGTTCTACATGAACTGCTTCTCAGTTGCTTTCTCATAGTCTGCTACGTTTTCATTTTAAACAAGCTGCCAGGCCAGAATGGAGATGTGCACATGTCTTTAAAAGTCAGCGTCCTCGAAACACACACACAGCAGAACCTCATATGAAACACTAAGTAGCTTGGGGATAAAGAGGCTATTCACTGCACTATCACAGAACAGGGAATTAACTGCAATCACTCTGCAAGACTGAGATTTAACAATTTTTCTAATAGTAGTTCTGTCTAAACTGAGTTCTAAAATAAAGAACGACTTCTAAAAATGTAAAAACTATATAACTCTAACAATAGATGTTTCTTGAATTCACATGTACTGAAAGCACCTTAACTTTGACAAAAGCAACACTCTGAAGAACCACTGTGCTGGCCTCCATTCCATTCTGTGTATTTCCTTCAACTACCAGTTGCTGTATTACTGGAAAGAGACAATGGACTCACCTTTCAGACTCACTCTGCAGTTGGTACTGAAGATGTTTTTCAATTAAAAAGAGCACATATAACATGCCAGTTTCAGAAGGGATCAAGGCTAAGCCCAGTAGTGTCTTAGCTAGAGAAAACAGAAAATAACTCTACTTGGAACTAACGTTTTTAAGAATAAATCTTTTTGCTGCCCACATCAGCTCTTCAATGGGTTGATTCCCAACCCCTTCAAGAACCAACCAAACAGGTTAAACCTCCAGTCTACCAGTATCAGCCAGCACCTCTTCCAAAAACACAAGGATAGTTGCAAGAAACTACTGAGATTATGGTTTCCTAAATATCACATCCATTGCCCAAGAGTGTTGTTCCACTCTTTATTTTTAATCAGATTTTTAAAGCACTGGCAAATAAATTGCAGCATGTGTTATTTTGGAGGACCAATACTGAACGTTATACTCTAGCATTAAGCTTTTGCTAACACATGCTCAGTATTTACTCTTAAGTGTGCTTCATGGATTACAAACTTGAAGTAGATACACTCCACATTCAAAGCGTTGAACCTGGAGACTGGAGACTCCTGGGAGGCAAGAGGGCAAAAGAAGATTTCTGAAGCACTCCCAAAGGTTCCATAGAGGTAGCTAGGAGAAACAACCTCATTATATGCTCATGAATTTCAAGTTTCTGTTCACGATACAGGATACCACACCTGTATACTAAAACTGAGGCAGAAGCAAGTTAAACCTCCCATAGTAACATCTGTTGAAGGCAGACCCTAAAAGAAGAATGGGTACAAAATGAATCAATACTGAGTGCCACAGAACATCCTGCAAGCCAGCTGGAATTACTCTGCTGGGCAGATTCATACCTATATAGGTAAACACTTTGGTTCTATAAGACTTTACTTTGGTGTAGAAAAGGTGTATTTATTTGCCAAGGAATTCAAAAGAAAAGAGGGTTTCCATGGTATTTGGTCCTACTTTGAAGGAAGCACGTGAATAATTGCCAATAATCTAACCTGGTACAGATAACCTTGGTTAGCCTTAACTGATCTGCCACTGAAAGGAGAGAGAGACTCAGCTGGTGGAGAACAGCCCAGTCGTTCATCTCAAGCCAGCCATCAAGTTCCACTCTTATTCCTATGAAGAAAGCTTTTAGCCATTACTTCAAGAGTAATTGCAGCATAACTGGAAAATCTAAGCACCTAAGACAGCAACAAAACAAACAGCATAATGCCAGCAGATAAAGATGGATATGCTCTATGGCTGCGTACACACAGCAGCCCACCCGCAGTCTGAGGGTGGCATCAGGAGGTTGCCAAGTGCTGCAGATCAGTTCAGCCTTGCTCAAAATAGAGGAAAAAAGTCAACGAAGCAGTCCTTAGTCTTTCACAGTAAATCTATTCCCTAAAGTACCAGTTTCCAATAGACCAGACCACCTTCCTCAAGCCTAAGTCTGACAATAAACAGGACTTTCCTTTGTATCAGTGAAAGATTTCATGATCACATTCCTTCATGACCTCACCCCACTCCTCCAGACCACCAGTAACACTCCCTTTTTGACACTGCATATTTTTACAAAATCTGTAACAAAACTCTTCAACACATACTCTAAAACCTGGGAGCATCATGTTTAACAACTAAGTTTCACAAAACTGTTGAGAGAAAGGGGAAAAGACCCCAGATAGAGGGAAGGTGAGTCTGTGTTTCACACCTGGACAGATGTGCTGCTGCTCCCAGCAGCCCTATGCCAGCACACTGCTGTGCCATCCCACTCCTGTTTCCATGGCAACAGCACAGCCACCAGGAGGCAGTGAACATTGTGCCCAGAAACAAAAAGTGCTGCAGCCTTTACACTCCCCCATCTCTCCATCGCTTCTGAATTATTGACATGGCACAGTGATGCCATGGTTGGAAAGCAGCAGCTCGACAACAGCTATGCAGATATTCACCTCTCATCTATTCGATGGTGGGAACATGCAGGACCAGGTGGGCACAGGAGGGGCTCTGGTGTGGTGCACTGAGGCATATGAAGTAATTAATGTGGTAAAAGCACAATGCACTGCCAATGTTGCAAGGACACTGATAAGTTCTATGATTTAGTAATGAGCACAGTACATTGAGCCATGTTATATGGGCATACTAAAACATTCATAGCTGCTGGTTAGGTAACAGTCACATGCCAGAGAATGACATGTAAAATAAGGACAGCTCAGCTAAGCCATTCCCTGCAACTTACTGGGCCACAGAGATAAGGACAGGAGGAAAGGAAGTTATTTTTGGAAAGTTTCTAAGTTCTGTGCAGTTAATAAACCTGAGTGGAAAAAGGTCCAGATCCATCTAACAGCAGGAACAGACTGCAGCTGTCTATGCAGAGCTGTAGCATGCTCCTGAATCCAAGTGGAAGCTTCACAGTCTAAAGTGAATGCAGTGATTTGGTCCTGGCAGACTAAATCTCTGCATCGGTGTTTTAAATTATATATTATCCAAAGAAGGAAGAGGGAATGACTTACTTTGTTCTGGGAGTTCTGTGTTCTAGAAATGACTTCCCTGGCAATCCAGCTGCCCATCCCAAAATCCAGAGAACTGACACTGCTGATGCATCCCTGTACAGCCTCGGAGGTCCCTCCAGGGTGCATACCGTCAGTGCTACTTTCTCCAGAATAAATGTGGTGAGAATTCAGGCTCTGCATCCTCTCTTATGAGAAGAGCAGTCATGCTGCTAAGTAAGCAATGCAGAAGGTTAGAGGAAAAAGCTATGCCTTTGTAGGATGCTTGTGGTTTCTGGTATGAACTGATGAGGAAAGGATTAACAACACTGGGGAAACTTCGATTCTCAGAGGTATGCAACAGTCAAGCCAAATCATGGGATCTCTAGGAGAGGTTTCCCTGAAGGATGCCCACAGCTGGGGCTCAGATTTTGTTATCCAAAAATGATCAGAACCTTATGGCCTCAAATAATGTCATCTTTGA